GCGCCCCTCGAAGAGTGACGCTACAGTCGATTTGGGAATTACAATTAGATTTATTATGTGGTTTCATATGGCTGAGTTCTCTGTTTCTGTTGCTGGATTGGCTGCAGCGAGCGCCGGCGCCGTGGCGTATTCACCACAGCACAGTCAGAATGTGAAGCCTTACCTCACTCACACACACAGTGGAACAATAGGCCACATTTACTGAAATGGGCCACCATAATATAAAGACCAAGTGGAATAGCTGGGCTTTGGAAACAGAAAGCCTTGTGTTGGAAATTATTAGATCCTTGGAAAGAAACAAGCTCCATTTAGAGCAACGGAAAATAAAATTCATAAAGCACTACCTGCCCAGGCCTCTTTCACATACACACAAAAACAGAGCAAATAACACATAAACAATCGCTTCTCTTTTAAAAATAAACCATTGTACTGCTGTAAATGGATTGTCAAACAAAACAGCGACGACAAAAGAACATATCAATGACAAAAGTCTCAAGTCTTTCCTTTTTTTTATTCATAGATATATTTTTTTCAGATTGTCTCTCTCACCAAGATGTACTGACACTTTTTAGAGCCAAAACAGGCTAATAAATACAATGAAATGTTAAAACGCACAATTGAATTTCAAATACAATACTCATCACAAAAAAGGAAAAAAAAATGTGTGTGACCATGAAACGTGTGCTCTGCCTCTGCAGGTCACGTCTACCAAAGAGCATGAGGTTACTTTCAATGTTGTTGTTTTGAAAAAGATCAGAGGAGGCGTGACCTGTTCAGGCGCCTCCAGAGCTGCAGAAACAAAAGTTTGCTTAAATAAATGAAAAAATAAAATGCTTTGAAAACAATTTGCAGTTAACTGGTGCCTGGCATCAGCGAGGCCCCCCTCCGCCTCCAAAAAGAAGTCTGGCTTTATTGACTAATTTGTAACGTTATAAATCAAACAATAACTTCACATTAGTCAACTCTAGATAGAAAAAAAAAACAGGAAAAATACAACAGAATTAATATCCAGTGCTTAATATGTTTATGAAACTAACAGAAGTGGAAAAGGAGCAAAATCTGATGTTCAGTCCTTATAAAAACGAATAGAAAAATTTGTGACTTGAAAATTTGTCATGAAGCTTTAAAAAGTAAAAAAATAATAATAAAAGCACCCAGAGAATCAGCTGTTTGAAATAAAAAAAAAGCTTCTGCTTTGCAGGGATTTTGCTAATCTGAAACCAAGTTAAACATGTGATCAAAAGGAAGCGACATGCTATGTCTGAACGAACATACTGCTCCCATCATGTTGAGTATGAATCACAGGAATTCAGAAACATCTTACACCAGAGGAGAATGTTTTCTCACCTTTTACTTGATTCCGAGTAATTTTTTTTAAAATGTATACAACTGTAACTCAGTCTGGTTGCATTCAGCATTTTTTATAACAAATTACTGCATCCTGCTAGCTGAGTATTTGTGTTTTTTTTTCGTCTTTTAAGGTTATTTTTTGCTCATTTTGTTAGTAAATATAGTATTTTTGTGTATATTTACCATGGAAACATCATGAGACAGGGAATACGGGATTTCGTGACTGCTTTAATGGCCACTTTCTACTTACTGGTAGTTCAGCAATACTAGCGGGTGGCGCTACATCTGTTAATGTCAGTTCATTACGTCCGATTCTGAGTTTCTATTTAGGCGCAAAAAAGACCATCAAAACACCATTATTTTATTATAATCAACTAGATTTGATGTTTTTTTTTTGTTTTTGGTCTAGGCATATGTACCTTTAAATGCACAGTTAAGGACTTCTGAAGTAAAGGTTACAAAAAGTTGAATGTCTTACATTTAGCAGATAGCGCCAATGTCTGAAGCTATTGCTTAGTCTGAGAGAAGGAAAGTGAAAGTCCAATTAAAAACTTCAAGAAAAAGAAACAAAAATGTTTCTTTTTTGTGTGTTCAGCTGCAATTATGTTTCCACTGGACCCTAATAAACAGAAAAGTCGGTAATTGTTTACAGGGGATATGAAAGTAGGAGACGAAAGTAGTCTTCTTGTGTGGAACATATACTAATAAAGAAAGAGTAAAGCAATCAGGAAAGTAAGTTGGTGTTAAAGATGACTGTTAACAAAACTGAAACTCCAATTAAATTAGCAACTTCTACCTGAAAAAACTTTACTTGTTTCTAACCTTTTGTATGTGTTTCATATAGGAAGATTATCAGTAGCGCAACTCCTCCATGTAAATATTCTTCACCTTCTTTTAAAATAATCAGCTGATTGAACTTGATGGTCATTCATCTGCAATTATCAGGCCAAATAATGAAAAATATGGATTTTTCTCCCTTCTATTTATAACATGCATCAAAACCGTTCCATCAAATCTTAAAACATTTCCGGTCTTTAAACAAATCAACAAAAAGGAGATAATACTCTAATTAATTAGGGGAGATGTCTGCATTGCAAAATACATTTTGCCTAATTGCTTTTTGACATAACAATTGATTTAACTCATTGATGCCTGAGTTTTTATATGAAGTGCCACATTGATTTTGTATTTAACATGAAATTATAAAATTTAATGCACAATGATAACAAACAGCGTCAGGGACCAGTCGTACCAGAACAAAGTGCTTGCTAAAGGGTCCTAGGTGTGCACTGGATGTGTATTAGCTGTTTCTGGTGGGAATGCACACAAAAGAATAATAAAAAAAAAAAAGAATCATACATTAAAAGTGAGCCAAAAAAACTGAATTTGCAGACCCCCGATCTAATGGATGAAAACTGTGATCCTGTCTTAGTACAGCTGGAGCTCCATGCTGACTGTCATTTATAAATAATTGTTCAAAGTTAATTTTCAAGGTGAAATATTAAATTGGTCCAGGGGCCTCTTCTGTCAGGGCATATTGTCATAAAAAACTATTTAGTATTACACTGTAAAAACTGATCTAGAAATGTGTTAAAATCTGTGTATTTGTCCTTAATTTGAGCAGATGTTTTATCAAAGGACCATGAAAACTAGATAATTAGATACTATGTTGTTACTAGTGTTGCACCGATACCAGTATCGCACAGAGCCCCGATCCAGCACTAAAATGGTGGTACTGGTATCGGCGAGTACCAGCAAATAGGGCACTGTTACCATTTTGAGAGCCAAAAGTTATTCAACTATTGTCACCCATTCTTAGTAGGCAATAAAAAGTTCTACTGGATTCACTTTGTATTAGTCTTTTTCCTGCTTCACAAAGGTAGGCAGCAGCTTGATAAAGCCATGATGGAAATTATTTTACATCCAAGTAGTATGCAGTTCTTCATATACACGCACACACATCAATTTTAAACAGATGGTATCGGTATCGGCCAATACTACACAGCCAGGTATCAGGTATCGTATTGGGGCCAAAAAATGGCATTGGTACAACACTAGTTGTTATCTTGTTGTTTTCTTCTTATTTCAAGCATAAATCATATTATTCCATCTGCATATTAATTTGCCTACCTGCTCAAATCAAGGTAATATACACACACACACAAAAAAAATAATAATTATATTTAAAATATTGCATTGTTTTCAGTACAGGGGCCGTGGCAAGGATTTGGGATCAATCTAAAGGGGCATTGGCCCCTCTTGCCCCCCATCTAGAACTGCCTATAATTGCAAGTTCCATGTTTTGAGTTTTTTTCTCTTCATAATATATTCTGATCCGGAATAAAAATCTTTAACTTTAGTTCGAAAATTTTTGCTAGAAAAAAATTTACTTTTTTTTTCTTCACAAAACAGTCAGAAGTGCTTTCAAGAAACAAACCACCTATCGCCATCAACAGGAAAATATCGTTTTTTTTTTAACTAAGAGGACCACGAAACACGCACTGTACTAGCTGATTCACACGGTTTAATCTTTTTGTTGCGTATTTGCGACAACAGGCATCAAGGGGTTAACCTTTTTTGTCTGTTAACAAGCCATTAACGCTTTCTTCCGACTCCTGCTATCATAGATGCATATCAATGGAGAGTCGCTTTCTTCAGGTAAGAATTCAACTGCCTATAACCTTTAAACAAATCATGACTTCAAAAATGATAGATTATGCCTTAAAAATAATACTGGAGCCAAAAGGTACCTTTGTTATTAGCCCGATTTAAAGGGATGGACATAAATGCGGATACAGCAGATACTGTGCTTACAGCAAACTGATTTGGAGAGAGAGAGAACAGGGTTTATGAAAACACCAGCTGGAAATATGAGCTGCAGTTCTTCTATGCGTCTGAACGGCTAACTGGACCAACATGACATGTAAAGATTTCCTCCCTGAGCGCTGGCTATGATTGGATCAGGCGGGGAACCAGCTATCTATTTAAAACAATCATGTTAGATAGAAAAGTTGATTGTATAAGACTTCTTATTTTTTGCATTAATTAAGACTAGAACATCCTGGGGGGAAAAAAATGAATGTTTGGCACATTAAAAAAAAAAAATCCTGTACAATGTCCCGGTAATTCCTTCCTTAATATAATAATAATCATCATCATAATAAGCGATTTCACTCCCTCTATTTCACTGACAGTCTGAAAAGTCTTAGCTATGGAACATCTTAAAGTCCTACTTAGATGGAAACAAAAAAAGACATTCACAAGCTGGCACATCTTACCTGAGCAGGGATATTTCTTAAAAAAAAAATCTAACAGTAACGTAATCTAAGCAGTTTGTCTGAGGGAGAAAAACAGAGTTTAGCACTGTGTTGAAATGAAAGCAAAGTAAGACTATAAGAAAACACAACGTTTGAATTTATATTAAAAAATTTCCAAATGTCAAGTTCCAACAGTCCAGAGTTTGTTCAGGCAGCGAAGCCTGTCAGGGAGATTGATGGAACGCTGAAACAAAACGGGGTCACAAAAAGTGAAATACATCATAATAGTAAAACTAACACACTCTTTAAACATTTAAGACCAAATAGCTGTCAAAGAGCATTTGTTGATGCTTAAAAAAAAAAAAAACAACATAAAAAAAAAAAAAAAAAACTAACACACTCTTTAAACATTTAAGACCAAATAGCTGTCAAAGAGCATTTGTTGATGCTTAAAAAAAAAAAAAAAACCACCAAAAAAAAACATGCATGCTCTCCACGGCGTGTGTGATGTGTTTGTTGCACATTTGTTCCTTGTCTCGCTCTTCTTGCTCCTTTAACGATTGTCAGAGTGTAGGAAACTGCAGCTCTTTGTCATGTCAAAGTCTGAATGATTATTGAGGTTGTGTTCGTGGGGCCCTTTCTGCCCAGTCGGCCCCCCGCTGGTCTTCAACAGGAGCGCCTGTCATGAGACTGTTCCACCGCTCACTGAGCAAATGGGCGTGCCTTGTAAATGCATGAACATGTCCTGATAGTTTACCTGGAGGTCTCTAATAAAGTTTGTCTCTAGGTGTAAAAGGATTCCCCCTTTCTTTTTAATTTTTACACGCTCCCATCGTGGTCAGTTGGCGCTAACCACCTCCCTCGTTTCGTGCTCGCTGCTATAGTCCGATTTGGGCTCGTCTTCAAAGTCCTCGTACATGTCCATGTCATCGTCTCCGTTTGCGGGGTCTCCAGGTAGATCCATAGCGCCGACCCCTGCTCCGTTGCTGCCCCCGCCGGGCTCTGACTTCACCCCGTATGTGCTCTGGATGACCGGGATGTTGGGTTCAGGGCTGCCCGAGGTGCTCGAGCAGTCTGAGGTCAGATGTGGTGAGGGTGTTGCTGTTGTTGCCATGGTTATTGCGCCTGGGTAAACTCCTACACCTCCTGCACTGTTGCCGAGAGAAATCTGGGGTTGAGGCCTGAAAATGGCAATGAAAGGAGAGGGATAAAATAAAACGCACAATTAAGAAATGTAAAAACAAACTAAGGTTTAAAAAAAAAAAAAAAAAAGGCTCCAGAATGTACCAGATTAAGTACATAAAAACACAAAGTTGTGGGTGGTTTCATAAAAATTGTGATGTTTTCCAATAAAACCCTCAGTTGTTGACCTGCTGATATTAAATGCAGTGCAAGTTTTCCTTTGGGGCTGATGTGTCTTAACATGAAGCTCTACCAGCAAGCTCTTTTCACATTAGCAAATTAGCCTGATAAAATAAAATTAGAATGAGAGTAAAAAAATGTAATCACTGGAAAAAACGAAATCTAGATAAGTAATTTCTTCTTAAAATAAGTGCATTTGTTCTTAGATTAAGGAGGTAAAAGAGACATTTTGCCAATGGAACAAGACAATTTACACTTAAAATAAGAAAACACAGCTGCATTGTCTTATTTCAAGTGCATGTTATCTAATTATCATATTTTAAGAGTAAAAATACTCATTCCATTGACAAACTATCTCATTTACCCACTCAAATTGAGGGTAAATACACTTAATTTAAGACATTTTTTATTTTTTCTAGATCGTTTTTCCAGTGAGGAGTATGGACACTGCAAAAACAATCTAGAAATGAATAAAAACTACTAAAATTAAGTGTATTTACCCTTAATTTGAGGAGGTTCATAAGATGATCTGCCAATGGAATGAGAATTTTTACCTTTAAATTAAAATAATTGGATAATTTGCACTTGAAATTAAACAATGCAATTGTGATTTTCTTATTTTAAGTGTAAATTGTCTCATTCCATTGGCAAAGTGTCTCACCTACCTCCTCAATCCAAGAAAAATGCACTTATTTTAAAAAGGAATTGCTTAGTTAGATTTCATGTTTTTTGCTGTGAACCTCCCTAAACGAACCACATAGGGCAGGAAAAACTTGTGATTTCTCAACCAACGGTTCTCACTTATTTGTCTCCTTTAGCTGCTGCTACCATATTCTTCATCACCCTTGTCGTCACATTAGGGGGTCGCCGGTTTAGCTCTGTCGACTGGGCCATAAAGCAGCTCTAACTGAAAGTCCAGGCATAGAGAGCCTGAGCGTTTTTTCATTTTTACTTGACCACACACACACAGAAAATGTGGCATTCAGCCGGTGACGTCTGCAGCGCTCTCGTTTCCCCTCTCAAACATCTGCTTACATTTCATATTCCACTCTGTCTGTCTGTCTCTGGTTTCACTGCCCACAAGCACCCGCCATTGTCCTGATTTAATAAATGACAAGCTATTAAAAATCGTTCCCATTCAAGCCGCGGCCTCTGGTAAATCCATCTCCAACACAGAACGCTGTGATGGCTTTAAACACGTCCTCGACTGGTTTCCATTAAAGACAATGCCACTGTTTCCCCTTCTCTGCGCCGAATATACTCTTAAATAAAATGTTCTTAAATGAAAGCTTGAAGGATTTTGCAGATGGAGCCACAGGAGGTTTCCGACCTTCCATAAAGTGCAGCACAGATGAGAGGATAAATCCTCAAATAAAGTTATCAGTTGTCATCGAATTATTTTGTTTTTTTACAAAACTTTTTTTGTGTAAGAATAAAAAATTGTTTTATACTTTTCTCTATATGTCGAAATTCTCTTGTCTTTGTGAAGATTTTAAAGTGGATTTTAAAACCTCCAAACCCCGAAATTTGAACAGCAGCAGAAAAACATAATCAAAACAATAAAATGTAAAAGAAAAAAAAGTATAAATTAGAACATTAACACAACATTAACAAACATTGATATATGTTTGTCCGAATTTAGATGTACAGGCTGACGTATAACTAACTGGCCTGCATAAGATAACGAAAACAACAACACAGATTTTAAGACAGGATTTTTTTTTTTATAGAAATTTTCTACATTTTGGGACAATATAGTCTGATAAAGAGTACATTTATATCCATGTTTAAGCCAGAATGATTTGACATTTAAACATAATTTCCCTACGACTTTAGGAAAGGCTAATTTTTCGAGTTGTATCAAGTGTAAAATTCAATTCAGTTGAAATGTATTTATATCACACATTAAAAGCAACCTGAGTTGACCAAAGAGCTTCACAATGGTTACTGATTCTCACATAAAAATATGTAGAAAATACGACGAACAATAAAAAAAAAAACACAATACTGCTCCTCATTCATGTTTTCTGCTGATGTTGCATTTCTTAGAGGATGGGGATCTGAGAACCAATAGAATTTGAGCGATTACCCTCAATACAGTAATTCCGCTATGCGTTATGCTATGCACTGTTAGCATGGTAGCAACAACCGTTATGTTAAGCAGCA